CAAGGTAATTACTTTGACTGCCTTCTATACGGGCAGATTGAATAAATTGTATTCATCTAAATATATGCTCTGTTATCATCTTTGCCATGCACCATAACATTCTGCACTACACCGTATGTCTTGTACATACAGCATATCATGAGAAAAGCCATGTTGATTTCTGCTGACAGGTCATTTAATGTATTTGCAACTTTTTTTAAGTATCCTGATCATGGCTATAATCTGCTTCTCTAATTGTAATCTTTGCAGCTGACATGTAAGGGTAAGACTTCTAAATCAGGGACCTACACCACAGTAACCAAGGCGAACCAGACCAAGGCGAATGTGGAGAACAAGATTAGTAAGTACCTTTAGCAACTGAAAGTATAAAGACGTGTAATTGTTAGAACTATTAGTTTTCTTCAGACAGATAAAGGCCTTTCTACAGCTATAAATATACTTGTCCAGGGATAATAGTTTTTGAACATTTGATGAGTAATCATGAACTATTTGTGTGTACTTTACTGTACATTCTTCAATTAAATAATAGTCAAATTCAAAAATACAAAGTTTCTGGTTGTTGTGTTGAATTTGGTGAGTAATTAGCCCTTTTTTAAAAATAAATAGAAATATAAATTAACCGTCTCCTAACATATGCCTGGGTGTCAGTGTACATAAAAATGCTTCCTTGTGTTATTCTTGAAGGTGATTACCAACTTGCCAAGCTTCAAAGGAGACTACTGCAAACAGAAAGGATGATGGAGAAGATTGTCTCTGAAAAGGGTCAAAGCTCTTCATGGTAAGACTTATTTTTCTTTAATCATCCATAGCACAGAAGAACCAACAGAAAAAAGGAAGAATTAATCATTATTGACCTGGCATGGAAATGAAAGGGCCTACAATTAAAAGGTGCATTATTTAAATGGGGAATTAGCAAACGTACTTTCAGTGAATAGCAGCCTTTTATTACTTTTTTCTGTAGTACATATTTGTATAAAATGTTTTGGAAGTGAAAGGATAAATCTGAAAAGAATAGAAAATACCCTGTTTTATTTTCTGCGTTCAGTTGACTAGAAAAAAAAAGGGACTTTTGGTTATATACATATGTTGATGTCATCTATTTAACTAACACAAAAAAACTCAGAAAGATATTAAGGTTTTTTTTGTCACAATTCAGCAGATAACATGTTTGAGGGGTTTGAGGGCTGTAGTTGCTCAGTGTAGTCTTTGAGAAATAATTCAAATAAAGACTGAAGTATGCATTGTTGTTTTATATGACAGGTAAATGTAATGGAAAAGTGATGTACACTCTTGTCATATTGCCTGACTGTTCCTCCATATCTGTGCTGCCTTCTAGTGGCAGAAGGAGGAAGAGTAAAACTACGACCTCAAAGAAGGAGGAGAAATTACTAAAGCAGCTCAGAGAGATCACACAGCTGATGCAGGAGGGTCGCTTTGAGGGAGCCTCCCCAGAGATGGAGGCTGAGGAGGTGCCCTATTGTGCAGACTGGGAAGGTACATGCCTAAATCTGTTTCTCTTCTGAGGATATGTGGCAGTGTTGTGCAACTGAAGTAAAATTAATTCCAATGTTTATTTGCGGGAGAGTTTCGTAAAAAATAATTGCAAAAGCATCAATATGATAATGCTGTAATGTTTCTATTTTTGTATACTTATGCAGGTTACCCAGAGGAGACTTACCCAGAGTTTGATGAAGCCTATAAAAGATGTGTATTTGAAGGTTTTATGCTGGAAGAACCCTCCTTCCAACCCACAGCTGAAGCCCTGGCAGAGAGGATGGAACAAGAGGAGGAGGAGGTTATGGCAAGGAAGCTATCTATAGTAAAAGAGGAGGATGAAGAGGGGGGTGGAGAAGAACAGGGAAAGGAGGAGGAGGAAGAAAAAGAAGAAGATGTGGAGGAATTAGAGGAAGACATTGAGAAGGAAGAGGATGTGGGGGAAGAGGAAGCAGAAAAAAGGCAGCTTCTTTGTTTTCCTTCACCTCAGCGTAATGTGAAGACGAAGCAGCAGAGAATTGGTTTGGAGGTGAGCAAAGAGTTACAGTGTCACAACGGAGGTAAAAAACAAATAAGCTTTAGTGACCACAGAGATGTGTTCCGCTACCCTAAAGAGGATGCCTTTGATGGGGAGGAAGAGGAGGTGGAGGAAGAGGAGGTGGAGGAAGAGGAGGTGGAGGAAGAAGATGATGAGGGCCCAGAAGTGGAGGAAGAGGATGAGGGCCCAGAGGTGGAAGAGGAGGAGGAAGCTGATGAAGATGATCCAGTGATGGAGGCAGAGAGCCTGCTGTTCAGTTGTGAGGGATGTCCCAACCCTGAGGAAGAGGCAGAGGAGGATGAAGAAGTGTATTCGTTAACATCAGGGTCTGTGGAGGAAGAGAGCAGTACCCATGCAAACATGCCTACAGAAGTCAGCGGGCTGAGAATGCGGAACAGGAGAGAGACATGAAAGACTTCAACAAAGACCAAAAATATGTTTTTACATAGAGAGGGCTCCTCAAGGTGTACTTTTTTTTTTTTTACATCCTTTATATGTTAAGAAATAGTGAAATAGGGACATGCAATGTTGTACTGAATTATATGTTATATAAACCAGCAAATAGTCAACATTGTTTAGTAGTTAAAGTTGTATTTTTGTGTTCTTTCAAAGGCATTTATTTTTCTAATACACCTGATTTAGAAGATAATTTCTTATTCTACATCTTGCATCAGGACATGCTCGGTGGTGATTCTAGAGTCTGGGGCCCTGGGCATAAATCCATTGGAGAAAATCTATAAATCCACCATCATGTCTGCCAGTGTCCCGACAATTTCATCTCTTCCTCTTTTTTCCTGTTTCTTTTTTCTCCCCTTTTGACGGATAATTCTTCCTCTGTTTTATTTGTTGACTTTCATTTAAAAACGTTGGTTTTCACAGCAATAATGCATGCAACACTTTGCAGGGCAACACGACTGAGTGCCGTCAGATGGGGGTCCCTTAGGGAGGTTTCCTACTGTCATTGCAAAATTAGCACATTTTGGGTCACTACTTTGGTTTAAGTTTGTGAGCCCTCAGGGGCCCCCTACTGGTCTGGGTCCCCAAGCAGTTGCCTGCCCTGCCTGTTGACAAGCAGCACCTCTGGACATGGAGCCCTTTGAAGGCCATTGTCCAACCACAAAGATATTTTTATCATTCTTTTTATATATTCTTATTTTTCCTATTAGACCTACTTTTTAGGCCTTTGAAATAATCTGCATAGACATAGACCCACATCTCACCCTTTTCTTTTACCACAGTAGGTGCACAAGGTAATGCAGGATAACTCACATTCTGTTTCTAATTGGATTAAAGATTTTTTGTCATTCCTGTCATAGCACTGCCAAGGTTCAACCTGAGCAGCAGCTCAGCCATACTAGTTATTGAAAAAACATCTGTGTGGGTTTATTGGAGTCCTTTAAACAATTATTTTAAAAAAATGTAAATGATTAAGTTCTAGTGATGGACTGATATTCTTTCCTACTCATTACTGTCTAAAGAATTGATTTTATCGACCTAGAAATGTTTGCAGTCTTCCCAGTTGACTTACATATGATTGTATTGTAATTACTTTTTCATTAAAATGTGCAACGTGGTTAACGGAGGTCAAATAAGTGGTCACAGCAGGGAGAGAGAATTGATTGTGCAGAGCTTGACACAGTCACTGTTACACAATGTTTGGCACCACCTAATGGTTAAATATGGATCTACTTCAGTTTTTCTTTCCTGTTTGGTAATAAACTGTTCAGAAAATACAGCAACATGATAAATGACAACCTGGAAGCTTTTGTGATTTGTTGTTTAGTCTTTTTGCTGTAGTTAATAGTAGCAGAGCATACATTAATGCTCTTGTTTAATGTGAGAATATAAATGTTAGTAATGCAGATCAGTGCAAGAAGATAAGAAGGATGTAGATATCTCCTGCAACATCAGGGAAAGTTTCACGTCAGGTGTCCTGCAAACAGTAAGTCATTAGCTGCTTATTGGATCACAGTGTCATGGGGGCTGCTACTTTTCGTTTAAGTTATATTTTATTTAACGCTGTAGGGAAATCAGTCTTCTTTCAGTTGGCTTACAAGAAAGGCAAAAGTCAGATCTCAAAATCCAGTTATCAGGCAATTGGGTGCAAAGGTCAAATCAATGGTCTCTCAATGTTACATACAATCATAATCATAATTATGTGAGACAAAAAATTTAACTTTATAGATAGAACATAGTCCCAATCTTCCAATAGAATATGAAGGTGTGACAAATAATTGCTACAATAAAGGTTGAGCAACTGCATTTCAGTTTAATATAACTCTTTAGAAGACAGTTTATGGCAAAGGGTTAAATATGTGTGTCTCAGTTCACTAAGACAGCTAATCATTTGATTTAACTGTAAGCCTTTCTTGCAAGTTTGATCCTGTACACACAGGTTGAACTAATTACAGTAATAAAGGCTGCAATCAATCAAGCTATTCCAGTACCAGAGCCCTGTTATTGTTCTATTTTACTCACTGCTTTAATAATCAAACAGGCTTTGTTTAATATTTGCTTTACCTGTGCTTGTTCTGGTGTGACAAGCTAGAAGAGAAGCAGTGTCAAAGAATACCTCCTTTACACAAGTCACAGCATGATCTGTCTGCATCCAATGTCCTGTTTGAAACCTCTCTAAAAGTTTGACCTGTTAACTGATGAGAATGCCAATATTGCATACAGCAGCCCTGAAGGATCTAAAGTTTCTGAAAAGCATATTATTTGATCAACTATTTTGTTGAACACTGTTGTAAATACAGTTCCAAAAAAATTGGAATTGTTCACAAAATGATCTCAGGTGCACAGATCCATGAAATTTGACAAAACTAGGCGATACATTTTGCCATTACATTACAGCATTACTAAAAATGATACACGTAAAAATCCATTAATCAGATAACTGATGTTAGTATATTGATGATGTTGTAATTGACTTTTTCAATCATTTTGAAAGAGAGAAAAGAGCTAATAGTTTGACTTTCTCAAGATTTATTGAATTTTTCATGATCAAAGGACTGTGTCCATACCACCACAGTAAACTGTACACCATTTACTGTACATAACAATGAGAGCACTAAAACAGAAAGTGAAAGAACCTTTGGTTCCTGGACGCTTGTATGAAAAGCAGACTTTACAGCAAGAGTATCAACAGTTTTATAAATTCAGAATAGTTAGAACATAAGTGAGTATAAGAATAGCACATTTCATAAAGATTTCCTCATAGCCCACAGTAACAGTAGCGGTATCAGAGATTGTTCTTTGCCTTCAGTCAGCTTTTTTCAAGGTCATTAAATACAAAATACTGTATTATATTTGAGAAAGGATTCTGCCCCATTAGGAGCAAGTGGAATAATACTTTCAGTAAAAATTTGAACAGCAATAAACCCTGTGATATAGAAACAGCCGGTCAGATGAGGAATTTACTAAACTCCATCTGAGTAGAGCAGAAAATTAATCAAAGATGTAAAGAGAGTTGAAATATGCAGTTGTTGAAGCTGTGGCAGATTCACACTGTTCATGTGTGCTGGTTGGCAGTTAGTCAATTTGTGATTTTGATTTCTTTTCCTGGTATGATAGTCTTTGATATGAGGACGAGCTCACGCCTCAGTGCCATGGATATTGCAGCTGCAGTACTGATTTACATTACAGTGCTAATGATTATTCCCCTCTTTAATGTGATCTCTTAGAGGCCCGTTGAGCAAACGTTGTGGAAATTTTATCCAATGATCTTAAATTGTATTTTATCTTTTGGAGGTTCTGCAATTCCGACTATTAGAATTTTGTATTAGAAGTAGCTACAGAGAAATATATCCGATGCATATGAGGACAGACTAAGACCAATTCAAGCTCAGGTCTTTTTATGCAAAACACTGGAATTAGTCTTCAAAGGCACAATTAAGTATGTACAGCTATATCTGATCCACATCAGGCTTCAAAGTAAAGTGCACCATCATCCTTTACATTCACATACATGACATTGTGACACTAAATTGTATATGGTACACGGCACGGTGTAGCATGCCATTACCCTCCTCACGTCCGAATGGCCAGTCGATTTGGTGTGGATACGAGAGATATTCTTGCAATGTTTGTTGATGTGCTTGCAGGTGCGTGGAGCCGTTACAGCAGACGTAACAGAAAACAAAATGAACATGTAATAAATACATAAATAAGAAAATAAATATATACTGTGACATGCATGTTATTTTTAATTCGGTAAGTATATAACCAGTAGTCATGCTGGATGAAGAGTGTGACCTGTTTGTTGTTGTTGTTTTTTATGTGTGCTGCAGACGCATGAAATCCAGTCTGCTTTTAGAAAATAACAGATGTGTATTTGTTAGTTATAATTTACAGATAAAGAAACGTTACATTTCTCTAACTACTACGTAAAGGAACAGTGTTGTTTGTATCATTTCATTACAGTACAAAATGACTATAGTTATCAAAACAAATGAGTTGGATTTTGAAAGTGGATTACTCTTTGTGCTTGTTTTCTTCCACTCACCAAGCACCTCCTTTCGCCACCCACACCCTCCCCCACAACACACGCACACATACACACAAAAGTTCAGGCCCATAAAGCATTTTGGGATATGAAGTACTTCCAAGGTACTGGGTGATTTTGGAGACTTCAAACCGGCCGCAGTGAAACGTTAACAGCCCTTAATGAGACGACAGAAGGAGCTATTTCTCCACTGAACGTCAGGCCGGGATCTATTCACAGGCTAACTTGCTGTCAAAGCTGGAAAGGGCGATGGCAAAGGCCTGCAGGGCACACATCGGGTAGTTATAGTCCATGGTGAAGACATCTTCTGCCACGCGGCCAAATTGCATCACAATGTAGTCAGCTGTAGCGAAATAGAAAAAAACGGCAAATATGTTTAAACAAGAATATTAGACTAAATTTCTAAATGTGTACAAAACAAACACTTTAATGGTTTACAACCCTTCATTCTCTTCCCCGAAAGTAGTAAAATAGTTCTGACATTGGGTTACAGCAACTTTGCGCAAGTTCTCCCCTAAGTAAGAGTATAAAGTCAACGCTTGAGGCTGAATAACAACAAGATCGTCACTCCACAACATCAGTCAACAGAATGGGTTGCACCAAAATTACTTGGAGCATATTCAGACTAGTTTCAGTTGTACATCAAATTAAGGCAAAAGGTCAAACCATATGTCAGGATAGAGCTGTGATGTAAAAGTGTTCATTAGCTCTCTGGCAGTCTTGAGCAGCAGATGTTAAGAAAAGTATCATATTAATAGATAAGGTCTCTACAGGACTTCTGTGTTCCAAATCGGCATGAAAGTTGTTTGACTATTCAACATGATACCATTCTGTGACATTTTATGATTTAAACCTTCCCTTAGTGCAAATGGTACTTTTTAGTCGAGATGTATTAGAAATCTTTGAAATACAACCGCTTTTATTTGAGTTGTAAATAATAATAAGCTTACTCTAAATTAGCATACAGCTGAAGCACCATCTTTTTGCATCCACCTTTCTATCGTTTTTGTATTAGGGCACAGTGTCATTTATTAGCAAAATATGTATTTATTTATATTTATTCATGCTTTTGTCAATATTTAGACTTTTGCATTTCTATTCCACCTGATGATGTGGATAGGAAAGGTAAAAAAAGAGAAAACTTTCCGGGGCTGTTGCTATCACAGACTTCTCTTCCTGTCCCTCCTTTCCAGCCACTTGATGAATTTTTAGGCTCCTTGCTATTCTTCCCCAGTCCACCAGATGCCCTCAGACTTTACTCCCAACTCAGATCTGTCCACTCCACACTTACTTCGTCTGTGAATTCACCTCATACCTTTCACTTCAGCTTTTCAACCCTATCACCACCTGCAACTTACTACCTTAAAAGCCACTTCACACACACGATGGGGCTGCAGTAGCTCAGTCTGTAGGGACTTGGGTTGGGAATGGCACGGAACAAGTCCGGAAATTGGCCTGGTAGCTGCAGAGGTGCCAGTCCACTTCCTGAGCACTGCCGAGGTGCCCTTGAGCATGGCACCAAACCCCAAAACTGCTCTGGAGCCCCCTCACTTTGAGACCTCTCCATTAATGCATGTCCATAGGATCCTGTTTGTGGATGTGTGTATTTTGGCCTATGTTTGTGTAGCATGTTAATGCAACAGAGTTTACAACTAAATTTTGGGATAAATGAAGCATAAATTATTAATTATTATTATGAATATTCATCCAGATCCTTTGTTCATCTGTAGAGTTTTGCTAAGCTTGAGTCTAATTTACTGTGGCTTCCTGCCTATTGCCTTTTTATGGACCTTTATCCTCCATGTCTACCTACATGCATGACTCAGCCTGTGAGAATTTACACAATCTCTGTTGAATACAAGATCTGCATTTGGGTACTATTCATGCTGTCCCTTCCCTGGGATTTAACAGATGATTTACTAAAACAAACCTCTAGTTGGGTGGGTTATGCATAACATATTACAATCACATGGCAAATGTACAAAAACCATATTGTTCATTGATTTGGATATTAATCTCAAACAGTTAGGAGCCAAACTCACGGTCATTGTCATGGATGATTTGGAAATTCTTGACGGAGGCCTGAGTGACTCTGCCATGGAAGTTGAGCACGTAGGATTGTGTATCGTCGTTCCACACGGGCGTCTTGTTGTGAAGTTCAATCACACTTTCTGTGTTTTTGTTCTGCCACCTGGCCAGCAGTGACTCGTGGTCCTGTAATGAAGAGCAACAGAGACGCTTCAGTCGTGGTCATCGTCTGAAGAGCGTTAGAAGATGCCAAGCTGCTCAAGACCGCCACAGAGCTGAATTGGTCAGCCAGACGCTGCTACAATGAAATCAATCAAACTTACGTTTCGTGGGCGAATAGAGACTCTCTCATGGTCCATGTTCATTCCGGGAATGATGACACTCATCTTTCGTGGTCCTTTGAATCCTAAGACATTGGTTTCCTAGAATGACACATTTTTACTGTGAACATGTTCACCTAGCGAACTTCAACAGCACATGGCAGATTTTTATATTGACTATTAATTGCCATGTTTATTATCGTTTATTATTTTTTAAAGAACATGTTCTGCATTGTGCTAATGAAGCAGATGTTACCTTACTTTGGGCTTCATGAATATTCAAATGGTCATATACGTGCATAAATGATTTCAACCTGATACTGGCTTTTTCCTGACTCTTCAATGTGTAGCAGAGATAAATCAAGTCTCTCAAGGAATGTATTCATTTCAAACATTTTTGGATCCATTAACCGGCATAGTTTATTTTCAAATTAAATTACATAAACTGTCGATTTACTGTTGGTTCCACAACGACAAATATTTGATAATTTCATATCAATTGGGTTAGGTTTGTCACGGGTGTGGGAAAACAAGGAGGTGGACCCAAGTGGAGAATAAACTAATAAAACGACTTATTTAAACAAAAAGGCAAAAACTAAATCAATCAAAATGTCCAAACAGAAAATCCAAAAACTGATAAAAACTGATACGCACTGAGAAACACTAGGAAACACTGACACTCCAACATACGCCAAACAACACCAGCAATTTACAACAATAATCTGACAACACCAGGGAAGGAACACAGAGACTAAATAGACACAGGGGTAATCAAACACAGGTGAGACTAATAACACAGGTGAAGACAATGAGGGCAATCAACACGGAGGGAAACACACAGAGGCAGGAAATACAATACAAGAAACACTGGAGACAACTAGAAACTAAATCATGAAACACTAAAGACACACAGAACTCAAGAATGTAACAAAGAAACACAAGGATAAGAAACTACAAAATAAAATAGGAAACACTAAAGACTAAACTATGAAACATTAAGACAAAAACACACAAGGGGAACAAGCAACACTTGGATGGACAGGAGAAATTAAAACATGGAAACCTAAATGCTGAAATACAAAACTACATAAGACCAAATCATGACAAGGTTAAAGAATACATAACCTTAACCTAGGCTTATTCAATTAGCTTGAGATGTAATATATCTTAATGTAAGAAATACTTTTTTATTTCTTAACATCTTTTTTAATTATATTTATTTTTTCTTTAATAAAGAAATGGCTGGATTGAGGTCAGCAAAAGGCTAAAACATTGTCCGACGGGCCTCCAATGAAGTGTTCTTTATGTCACCTCTGTGAGTCTGTAAGCATCATCTCAATGACTTATCACACATTTTTGCCAATGCATGGTTCAATATTTGTCTTTTGACTAATAAAAAAAGTACAGTTTGAGGAGCAGTTTGACCAACTCACATAGCAAATCGCTGCTAGCTCTTGACGCAAGTTGCTAGCTTCGAGACTTGTGGTGCTCTTCATCGGGTTAAGACCGCTGTCATATACGGTGAACTTTGTACCCATGAGGTTAGACCTGAAAAGGAAATACAGCACATTGAAACCTTCTGTAGGTTGATGTGTGTGGGTGTGTTCTTATGCTACCTGCATGGTCAAGAGAAACATCACGGCATCACCAATACGTATCCAGGTTTGACTAAATAAAGTAATGGATGGTACAACATAATGATGGTACAACATAATGATGTGAGTATAATTGTGAACTTTCACATTGTAAAAAAGTCAAATTAAAATATGAAAACCTTGTTGTAGGATCCTGCAGTGTACTACTTCAAAATGGCAGTCTTTCATCAGAGCTTTAAATCAATCAAGTATTACAACTCAGGAAACTGACAAATCTTGCAATTTTAACATTTTGACAATTTCACCTTGATAACCTTTTTTAAGTGCAGCATTTTGCATTGTCTTGTAAAAACTTTTAAATCTGTGTCTAATTTATAAAAGGGCACAAAAGCCATTTTCACCTCAGTTCAGGTCACCATGATTGATTCATGTAGTTGTTATACTCTCCTGTTGCTCAGCAGGGGTTAATGGCCTAACCTCTCAGCAGGAGTTTTTGCAGATTCAGACTCCAACAGTGAGTCACATCGTCACAGGGGGAGGCACGTTGCCAGTGGCTAGTCTCTGCATCTGATTGACTTTTTGTCTGGCTGAAACTGGAAATCGTTTGTTGTTGACCATTTACTGTTTTAACATAAATTATATCGGGGTTTTTTTTAAATAGAAAATGTGTTTCTACTACAAATAAAAGTGCTCTTCTGATCCTGTAAATTATTATCCTGTGTAAAGATGACCAATATCACCTGTGTTCGGGAAAAGCAGTGAAGCTCCACTCTTCCTTCAACAACAGAGGCATTGACAATGTACCTACATGGTTCCTGTATGCACAGATATGTATCACTGTTCTTTTTTCCCCTGTTTCAATAATGATAGAATATGCTTATGTAAAGAAGTAGTATCTGAGTTATATGCTCCCATGCAGTGAAGAGGGGTTTCTTATACACTTTACACTTCCCAATGGCTTCTCTCAGTGCCATGTACTCTTCATGTATTTACTGCTCATTTACAAAATGCACAGCATTTAATTTATATTAAGTATAAGTCTTAACACAAATGTGTTGTTCTCACATTATGACCTTTTGATCACATCATTTCCATATTGCTTAGTATGTTTGTAGGTAAGATGGTTTGCAGGAATATGCAGGAGATTTAACAAAGAAAAGCAGACATTTCGTCTTTCGTGGCTGACAAGATACATATAATATTAACAAACCAACTATGTTTGAAAATTATTTTTTTTACTGTGTTTTGTTCATTTTTGCATTGAGACCTCCACCACTGTCACATCCGTCCTCGGATTTCTTAAGACACAATAATGAAAATTGACAACAGTGCATCCAGTGAGCCAGATATGTATGTATGCTTTGTGGTTTAGTACTGTAGTCTGCACAAATCTTTAAACATTGGACTGTAAACTTCTGATAAGCAATACCCCATCGAGGCCAGCCCCCTCAAGGAGCCTTAAGAAGCACTAGATGAAAGGTCACTGTTCATTTAAATGCAGATCTCCATCAATCAGGTGGGATTGTGATTGCAAAGGTTCAAGCATTGTATCGACCAATGGCCGGGCCAGCTCTGAAGATTAAAGGCTGCACAGCGCTATATTTGATTAAACTCGCCAGGAGTTTCCATGGAGCCACTCACGTAGCCTTGAAGCTGTCACTGAAGATTACGTCGCTCCTCACTTCCTACCAATCTAACTACAGCCTGGTTGGAATTAAATGGCTTTGGGGTCATTTATAGAGTAGGTATCAAAGGAAAAAACATGTTTTAAAATGAGTGGTGAACAGCATATGGTTCATATGATGTTTTTTTCCCCCCAATCATACAGGATCATTAGTAAAGATGAACAAATAAGCGTACAGGGCATGACGTTTTTTTTTACAAAATAGCTCCATATACGTGAAGATATTTAAATAAAGATTCTATTTAAGTAACACTTGTTAACAGATTTGTTTGTGATTATTTGCTCAACTACAGCGTGCACAGTTGTGTGAACAAAACTATTAAATGTTTTCTTGATACAGAGGCTTAAATGATTGTATAAAACAACAAACAAGGAGCACACTCGACAGTAAACACAGGTGCAGGACCGCTACAAGACTAGAAAGAGACAAAAAAAAGTCGGCACACAAATGTCCTTTAGGTTTCCTTTAATCCGGGTAAAACAGCAAAACAACAGCAACGGATGGTTTTGGCACTAGGGCTTCATCAGCGTTCAACGCTAAAGGACATTTGTGTGCCGACTTTTTTGTCTCTTAAATAAATGTATAAACAAAGAAATGAGGATGAGCTCTTTTGTGTATGCAAACAGATTTTAATCTATTACATATTTATAGAAACTGTATTAGCACTAAATTCAGCGACTTGAACAAAGTTTCTATGTTTGTGTCTATGTTTGAGTGTTTGCAGTACTCACACTAAAAAAACACTGAGTGATCTCTGAGTAAATATAAATCCTTGTGTAGGCCGCAGAGCTATTTTTGTAGAAAAGCCACTGAGGACTCACCTCAGTTTACCGATGAAGCTCTCTCCACCTCGAGACAGATCAGTGGGATCGATGGAGATGAGGTAATTTGATGTCTTACTCTTTTTCCTCTTCCTGCCAGCTAACAGGAATACCTGTGACCAGCCAAACCAGAAACTAAATTAACTATAAAAGAGATTCATAAGAACACTCAAAAGCAATCACAATTTGGGAAACACAATTCTCTTTTTGAATTTTATGTTTCAATCACAGTATGAAGCAGAGACAAAAGTATTAGTAGTACCAGTATTCAGCCATTTCAAAATGAATGATCCTTGTGTGTTTGGATGAGAAAAAACGTGTTGTGTTGTTTGTAATGACAATTAGCACAGCTCTAACCTTCTTGCCGTCTTCTCTCTCCAGGTGTAAGTAGTAGGTGGGATACATGCCTCTGTCCATGCCCTTCTTGTCTCTGGTGATTCTGCACTTCACTCTGACACCCTGGGGTGCAGGTCGCAGAGAAAACTCTTCAAGGTCATCCACATCAATGGCAGGATCGTTGACTGGTGGAGTGGGCGCTGACGCTACCTCCTGTGGGGGAAATAAAACGCGAGACCACTGGTGAGGCAGAGGACTGGGGGAAGTGATGTATTCAAGACGACTTTCATTAGAACAGAGTAATGAGACTGAAGATCAAATGTTCCACTGGGACTGAGAATGAGCACGCCGTGTCTAAAATAAGGATGGAAACAGAAGATTGGGTTGACAAAAGGGAGAGATCATGGAATGAGGAGCTAGAAGAAAGCATGGTTATCATAAGAACAATGCAGGACTGACTCAAGATATTCAAGCTCAAACAAGCCTAAAAATGTATGCGGCTTACTGCAGTGAGCTCTTGTTTTGTATATGCTTATAATGCAGCTTGCTTCCTGCAGCGAGCATGCAAGAGCAGCTTGTCTGGATAAATAACACTTTCATCTATTTCCTGTTTGAAGGTTGCAACCAATTTTTTTATCTGTCACAATAAGGTGGAACATTTGTCATGAGCAATGGAAACTGAGCGTAAAAGCACTTAAATTAATTGCTCCAAAATAACCACCAACACAGTTAAAATTTCCCTTTAACTTTGGCTGTTAGCGTTCGTGTTTTTGAATTTTTGCAATAAGACTAATTTGCAAAGAAAAGGGATGGGGCAACTTTTGCCCAGCGTAGGAATAATAGCTTGTTTAAATAAATGCAAACTGCACTACAGCACCAAGACAAGTTTAGCTTTACAGCTTAGTTTTGGGTGCATTTAACCAATAGATTGTTTGAAACATGGACTTAGTCCCCGTGACATAACCCATTGGTTACTGAAGGGGAGTTTGAAGCCCATATTGCAGTCGCTGTCTCAACCCTACTTTTAATCATCCTAATAACAGGCAAACAAGCCCCTAACAATGCATAACACTTATCCTTCAGAAATGAAGACATGACTTCTCAGACCAAAAGTTTTTTTTTACACCAGTTTGTCAACATGTTTATTTCTGCTATCAAAATGGATGTATATGCGACTTTTGGGGCTTATGCAGCCAGCGCCATGTGGACTCTCAAGGAACTGCTTCTTCTTTGTTTTTGCACTTCCATATTGTCGTTTTTCAACAACAGAGAACGCTGCTTGATTTATCCCTTTGCATGTACTCTGTACTCCTTTGTACAGGATCATCAGTTGTACAGGCATGCAATCGCCTGGTGAATTTGCCCATTATATTTTATTCCACATTTCCTAAAAACAAACAACAACATAAAAATATGCTTTACTATTTGAGTTTTATATTACCTAAGTCACATGGCATTAACGAAACCTAAACCTTAATATTAAGATTAAGATTAAGATTAAGATTAAGATTAAGATTAAGATTAAGATTAAGATTAATGCCATGCTCTTCACCTCTGCAGTGTTTCTTTTAAATAAATAACTAGAGGCAAAATAAAGTGTCTGCATGACATTTATAAAGGACCACCTACAAACAATGTCATGTCCACAATTACATAGAGAGCACAATTACCTTGAGTTGACATCTGTGTTCCCAGAAATAGTCCAGCCCCAAAATTACTCCAATATTGTGTGTAGAAAAAAAAAATTGCCAAAAGGACAACAGCACATTCATCACATTAGGACAGTTTGGTATTTTACTGTACTTTCAGCCCTGAGAGATAAATAGAGTTTTAACTAGAAGGCCACCTGAGCTACAAAACTGGATCTACATCTTTTTTTGAGTGCTGCACAGAAAAGAAAACCTCATGCAGGGGGTATAAATGTTGACTGTGAACTTCATTTTCACCTTGCCTGACTTCTTGCTTGTAGCAGAGCCTGGCCTTGTGTTGCTGTTCAGCTGTGAGGAACTGGAGCTGATTTCATCTTCATCATCTTCCTCTTCATCAAAATTCATACTGCTGGATATACCTGCACAGACGAGAAATGGGAAAGAAAAAGGGTGAACTGACTTTATCCCTGCTTAATTGGTGTGAACTGCTGCAATAAATAGCCTCAAACAGGAATGCATCCCTACCTCATCTCAGTAACATTATTATTGCTAGAGGTTACTTGAATCTTCTATTAAAAAAACAGTCGTCAGAGATTGAGGTTTGAATAAAATAACTAGGCCACATGTTTCCCAGAGCTGTTTTAGACTATTTTCAGCTGCCATTTATTCAATGCTTTATAGCAGGATTGTCAATCATTGTTTTTAATGTTCTACAGAAATGCATTGAACAGCAGTATTTTACTGCATAAAGTCTGTAGTCATTTAGTATAGTAATACGTTTTTTCATGTATGCCGATGTAATGGCAAAAAGGTGAGGAAATGTAAAATGTGTGTTAGTATTGAAAGTAGCAGGTAGTCCAGTCATCCATCTGAAGGAGGTATAATAATAGTTATTTGCAGCCCAACAACACTGTGACTGAGAGCCAGAACGTTCCTCTTGAGCCAATATGTTTTAACTCCTTGGAAATGTGGAAAGGCAAAAGTGGTGATTACTTGAATTTGCTTATTACAGCTCCTTATTTAAAAAAAAAAAAAAGATTGTTGCAAGGAGTTAATTTATTAAAGACAGCAATGTTGAGACACACACAATTGACAGTTCAGTCATGAAAATACATGTTTCTTTCATTCTCCAGGTTCAAGACCAACAACTAAAAACACATTTCTTTACAAGATAAACTAAAACTGAAGCAGATTTTGAAATCACTCTGTATTTGCTTCCCACTCTAATGCACTATATTTACCCACAGCTGTTTTATAAGTCTCCAAATTGAAGTGTGCGTACAGTATCGGCTCTTTAAGGTGTCTTAAAAGTAGTGTCCATAGCATGTTAGCATGTTAGTTTTTTTTTAACTAGTGTGAGTACAACATCTCACTAAACTGCTCACTAGAGTGTAGATGTTTGTGTTATGTAAATGTTGGATGAGTACATATTTCATGTTCAGTTACCCATAATTTGAGAAACAAAAGTTTGAGTGCCAGAAAAATATGTCAGCGTCGTTCAGTAAAGCCTCAATTATGTAATTCACACACTGAGTCTTAATATGGATCTTCTATTTGAAGTCCTAACATGACTCAGTGTGTTTCAGCACTGGACCAAAATGTTGTGGGTGTAAAAACAGGCTTGTGCCTGTGCTCTTGCAAAGAGAAAATAATCCTTCCTGATCGTTATCAATACCTTTCTTAAGCATGGTGACACGCAGATCCTGTTTACTCTGTGACTGAGTGCAGCACATAACAGGCTCTGCCTCGCCCTCCTCTGTGGTGCTGTGGCCCACTGTCAGGATCTGGATCTGACCGTCATCCTGCAAGGACGCCAGGCCATCGATTGCTGCAGAGTCAGAACACAACGATTAGAACCTCCATCAGAAAAGAAAGCTGCACTCTTGTTTAGCAGTTTCATGTGAACATACGTTAAATGACCAACAAATTAAGTAAGTAGAAAACATTCACCCTGACAATATGTGAAAGCATTTCCCCTTCTCTTCTATAATGTTTGTGTGGGTGTTTTCTGCTCTGTTCTCATGTCTTACTCTAAATAATTATGTCTATACCATTCAATTTGTCCATACTGTTCAAGACATTCAAGCCCAATTCTCTACTAAAAGCAAATCAACAGACAGGTGTTTTTTTCACGCAAAAACATGTTTTACAGAATAATTGTAAATGCAATGCTTTCAAATCATTAGATTCAATAATTATGCCTTTCATTTGGGGTTTTAAAGCTCACAGAATATCAAAAATACATCTACACAAGTCAAGAGAGAGAGAGGTGGGTTAGGATTGCCGTGCTTTCTGCATTATTACTGGGTGGCAAATCTGAGAGCCCTTGTTTACTGGCAGGAAGGTTATGGGCGAGAAGTTTCAACAAACACCCCGGCTTGGGTTGCCATCGAAAAGAACGATGTTGAAAATAGCTCGCTTCCAGCTCTTCTTTTCTCTTCTTTTGAATAACCGAATAATCCTGAACTGCCTGAAAATATGGCAGCAAATTAGGAGGAGCTGCAAACGGCCGGACACCTCTATTCATACTCCAGTTTATCGTAACCATGCATTCCTTCCATCCATTTCAGATCCTACTTTTGATAATTTTTTGGACATGTCCAAGGCTGTATACCTGTGAGATATTCAACTGGTTTTCTGGAATGTATGGCTGCGTGTTCAAACCGGACCCTGAGATAGCATTATTTGAGTATTCACCATCTTTAAATAATCAAAGTTTCTCTGTGCAGAGCACTATTATGTACGGTATGGTAATTGCTAAGAGGGTGATATTAAATTTCTGGAAGTCTGACACTGTGCCCCAGTTCAAGACCTGGCTAACTGACCTCACCTGTGTACTGCACATGGAGAACATCTGGTATGGCATGATGGGCAATCTTACCAAATTTTTCAGCATCTGGCAGCATTTTTTTGATTATCTTGCCCGACTGGACAGAGTTCCTGGAGAGTAACTGATTTTACTGCTCACCGCTTACCTCTTTTTAAATGTTTGTCTTAAGAAATATTGTGCTAGTGATACAATGTAGCATAATGCCCTGCAATGCAAGCCCTGTTTTGTTTTTTGTTTGTTTTTCTGTCCGACTTTATTCTTTATATTCTGTAAAAAATCCTAATAAAAATATGGTTTAAAAAACCAAAAAAAGAGATTAACCAGATATGAGTATTAGATAATCTTTTTTATGATGTAGTTTGAATGATTCCTGGGTAAATTCAACAACCAACACTCGTCTATTGACCCAACTGATGCTTTTAGTGAATGCATGGTGCCTGAGTGTAACAGCTCTCCTTCTCTCGTACTTGAGTGACGAGAGAGGGAGGGAGAAAGGTCGATCATTATCATCAGCAGCAGCGGTAAGCTACTGACCTGATTTATTTCTACCTAAGTGGAATCCTGTTACCTTTTTTATTTGTGGTTTGTTTTCTGGGACAAAGTCAATCCAAAGACGGACATGTGCTGTATCGTTCTAGATCAGATGGCATTTGTAATGTTTGAGGAAACAATGTGCTCAACAGGCTATGTTTCCTTTTCTATCAGTTCCTTATTGTCCTTTAAATATTATTCTGAGGTCAAATTTCTTGCAAGTATGTTATTAAATCTTGTTTCGCATTATGTTTAGTCTGCCATCACACACTGTGTATGTTTAAAGGGAAAAAGCAAAGGGGAACAATCAAAGCACTGAAGATGGAACACACCATTTCAAGAGTCAGCTTTCGTCCTCCAGCTAATGAGGAATTTGTGTCTCCGCTTGTTGTGTGTCTGCAGCCTGACAGCACTCAGGCTGTCATATATCAATAGAGACAGCCGAGCTCTGACAAGTGTGGCACCACAGCGGTGGCTAAGAGGGCAGCTTCACTGGCTGTGTGTGTTGCCAGATGTGGCTTAAAAAATCAGCAGGAAAACCATTATCTGAGGTTTGCAGAGAGGGCTTGAAGAGACTCTGCCTCTTCTCTTTCATACACACTGTGTAGTGCTTTAGTGTTTAAACATGAACAAGGAAAACCCTCAAAATAATACAATCAAATACTATAACCTAAACTTGGAGCCTGACCTTTGTGCTTCCCCTTCCTCTCCTTTTTGTCGCTGCCCGTCTGTGGAGTAGAGCTGGCTGACGCTCTGCCCTTCTTGGCTGAACGAGGCGGCTGTGTATCCGCTATGACCTTCACCTCCTCCTGTTCAGCTTCTTGCACTAAACACAGGGATGGAGAGGAACAGCATACAGGGTTATGTACAATCCAAAAAAAACCTGATACATAGGTTAAATATTTCTAAATCCCCTTCTTTCAATCAGAATATGAGCCTAGTGAAGAGAAACATTTTGTCAATCTATTTTCTCTTCTCTCTGCAGTAAATGGCGACAGTTCATGGCTTTGAGCCCAGAAACTGGCCCTCAGAACTGCGGATTAGATTGCTGCTCTGGTCTCTGTGTAGATAAAGAGACATCATCAATCCCGACACCAATCCTGCTCTCAAGTGTGCAGATTTACAGCACAGTGTAAGATCCTGCAATAGATCCTCTGGTATGTTGTATTGGTTCTACAAGGGTGCTTATTTAAAGCAATAGTTCTGTAGCTATTTTTTTTTTTTTATCATTCAGATATTTAATCTTTGTATGTTTTAGATTTGTGGTACTTTACAGTGCATTGAAAAAAAAAATGCAGGAGGAGGAAATCTCTTACAGCCTCAGAACAAAATGCGGCAGTTCTCAGAACAGATTGCTGTCCTGACCTGTCGTAATATCTATGGCTTTTCTTAAATCTTTGTTTTGAGCTCTATGAATCCACATGGACCCGGGAAGTGGCAGCCAGACTCACCATGGTAGATGGTGCTGCTGTTGCTGCTGAGGTAGGACTCCACCAGTGGCGCCTGTTCCTCGCTCTGTTTGGTGCGGCGTGTGCGAGATCTCCCGTCTACATTGGACTGCACCATCAGGGGCTCTTGCCTCTTCTTCTTCTGCTTCTGTTCAAGGAGCGCTCGCTGTTGTGGAGGTTTCGTGTACGTGTGTGGGTGCACAAAGAACATGCCCAGGTAGAGAGAGGCAGTTAATGAAGTGACAACCTCCCACTGTAAATCATTAGAAGCAGAGACAATGGAACAACAATAGTACTGCCACTGAAGCTGTTAATTGTTTAATGTCGCCCTTATGTAAAAAAAAAAAAAAAAAGATAACTCCTCCAGAAAATAGCTCTCTTATAAGACACCAAGGACTTTCTTGTAAGCAGTCTTTCCACTGTATGCACAGGTTTAAGAGCCAGCAGCAATGACACAGTCTCAGGCAAATCTGTTCAGCCAGGAGAAGAATCCGAAGATGTTTAAGGAAGTGCTGCTCATACCACATTGACCTAAGGCTGGATATAGATATTCATCTGGACTACCCGCTATATGCACGTCTTCAAACTAGAGCTCATCAAATATTGAGGGGTTGCTATTAGTGGAGGACTCAGGCTTCAGAGCAGTGGAGCGCTACAGTTTCACTCGTAAAGCTCAAATCTTTGTCAGGGCAGTGATGGCAATGTCAGATCTAGGATGGTATATGCGTGCAGTGCATGTATTTGTAGGTTACAGTGTGGAAGATGCACTTTGCATGAACTTTGGTGCACAAGGTCTCAAATGCGCAGCAATGAGGAAGCTCGTCAATCTTATACTAATATGTTACTTAAAACCATTTAGAAACATCCTATGTGAGAATTGAAGAATATTTGCAACCAGCTGAGTTAGAAGCACAAGCGTTCAAAGCTATTAGTTAATGATGTCTAACTTGTGATGTTAAAAGCAGATTAAAAGCAGTACACTTGAATATGGAACTAACTTTACTATACTAGTGACAGACTGCAGCAGTGTGTTTGATGCAACTCTGACAGAACTCAAAAATGTTTTATAACATTTAACAAACAAAGTTTTCATTCTACTTAGAAAAATGAAAAGGGTTGAATTTCAACATGGGGCTGTTTGTTTTGTCTGGCTACAGTTCTGCTGACAACAAACAACAACAACAACAACAGCAGCAGTATCAATTTGCAGCACACAAAGCTGCCAACTTCAGCTGGATTGAAGGATCCTGTACTCTCTCACTCTTAATATTACATTCATTAAAAATGTGTTATCTAGGCACCGGTAGTGGTTAGTGTGTACGCCCCATGTACAGAGGCTGTAGTTCTCCAAGCAGTCGACCCGGGTTTCCAATCAGACCTGTGGATCCTTTTTTGCATGTCATTCCCCTCTCTATCTCTCTCCCTGATTTCTGACTCTGTCCTATCTCTACAATAAAGGAATGAAAAAGACCCAAAATGTTGTTTTCACACTGTCTAAAAAATGTTGAATGCAGATTGCTTTTTAAAGTGTTGATTAAGCAATCTTATCTGTTTATTATCAAACACTCATCTGGCTTAAAGATCACACAACACGTACCGAAAAAGTAAAAAACTATTAAGATCCATCATAATATTTGTTCACAAAATAATGACCTCCTTGCTCTTTGCTATTAATGTCATGGTAAAATGTCCTGTTTTAATTGATGTGTTTTCAGTGCAAAAAGAAAAGACTTGCCTGTCTGTCCAGTTTCTGCTGTCGCAGGTTGGTGCCCTCATCGTCTAAAGTGCTGCAAAGAGAAGAGCAAAGGCAGACGGGAGATTTTAAAACATGAGCTGTTAAACATAATTAAATCTCACTTGTTATTCTGAAATTGCAACAAATGCCAGATATCATCACTTTGTTTAACCGTTACTGTCTACATTATAACAGAGACGAAGGAAGATTATTGTGGACATGAAAAACAATTGAACTGTGTCAGCTGCAGAAAAGTTGTTTTCTTGTTGATACCTAAATTGTCCTTTACACATTCAAAATGCCTCGAGTCATTAATCCCTGGAAAAAAATCAAACAAAACCTAATAGGTCATGGAAAACAAAGAACACATTAGTAGATATCTGGCAAATTACTTGTTGAAACTGTGTTCAAGTAGCTTTATGCTTTTAAACACAATTCAGGAATGTAAAATAAACATTTTTTTAATTAATGAAAAACATGACAGACAAACTTACAACTTATATATAGTGTTCCATACATTACACCAGAGCTTTAGATAGACAAAATGACAACAGGCAATTGCCTCAAAAGAGGCAATTGTGGAATCAGTTCATATTTACACAACTTAATAAAACACTTTTATTTACTGCATTGAGCCATTGCAGGGTGGTTAGGAAGTGTTCACAGTGCATTGTCTGGGGCTCGTAACACTATGTAGTCTGTTTGTGATCAGGTTGAGGTAACAATGGCGTTTTGGTTAAGGACGTCTTACTGCTGAATTTATCTGTATTAAAGAAACCTTTAAAGGGAAACTTAACATCCCGCCCTCATTTTTCCCTGAGATGGGAAATCTTTGTGCCTGAAAAGTCTGAAAAGGAGCTTTCAGTGACGCAAAATGACGATTTTTGCGTCACTGGAAGCTGTTGCGGTTAGCGGGGTGAAACTACAACGCTAGTTCCTCATATTTTTTACCACTGAAGCTACAGACCTATCACAGATCAGTGGGTGGGAACTCACTCCCAGAATCAAAACTTAATGTCCACTATATTGCTTGGAAGCTATGCTAACAGGCTCTATGGAGAAAGCTGATAATGGTGAAAAAATATAAATATAGCGGTGAGATGGCTGCTGCCGACAGGCCGGTCTTGTGTTTTGGCTGCTGCGGCTGCCGAAGTCGCTGGCCGCTGGGAGCCTCCGGGGCCACCGCGACACAAGACCGGCCTGTTGGCAGCAACCGTCTCGCGGCTATATTGCTGGCCGCCGAGACATAAGGCCTGTCTGTCGGTGAGGACGAGGAGCCCGGGCCGGCTCGAGCTGGGGTGGACTGGTAGTGTCGGTGCTCTCACTGTTTGCCTATGACCCAATGTCAATACAGATTCATGTTTCAATGGGTGAAGTATCCCTTTAAACATGTTGACAAATGCGGTCATCACTGAAGTGCATTTAAGGATGCCTTTTTGTAGACTTACAAATCTACATTGAACATGAAAGCTCCTTCACTGTTAGTGAACATTATTTAGAATATTCAGCATCAACAGTTTTATTATGATATGCCATGTAGTTTAAGAAATAGCATTTTTTTTGCATTAGTGCAAAGCCTGATTAGCAGGCTCTTTGTATATCTAAAAGATTGCTTTTGTAAATGAGTTATATAGAAACTTAATTTCCATGATACAGGACTGATCACAACTGTAGTCCATTAAAAAACTCTTCTAAACTAATATGGGCAAGGAGGGCTCCTGCTTAACTGCCATTAGCTTATTTTCATTGAGAAAACAGAAATATAAACAAAGACAACAAAATAATTGTGTTGATGTCGTGATGTTTAGGAGGATACTATACAGCTGATCTGGATCATTGAAATGAAGAGGAACAGTTTGAGGAAATCTTTCTTTCATCGCTGAGTTAATGCTGAGACGTGCAAGGTTTTGAGATCATGTTGGACTGTCTCTTGCACTCTCAAACACTGTGTCAACTCAGCCAACAGAGACGTAGTTGCTGTGAAACAAATCTTCATTGCTTATCTTTGTATTAAATTTTAGGAAACTGTATCAGTGAACATATGGAGAGCAGCGTCAGACAGAAGGTAGGCAGAGACTGAGATAGTCTGAGGCTCATCCATGATTTTGTAGCACATAAACAAAACTGATCTCACTTGAACTTTGTTTATCCACTGATGCTGGAAATCTGTTATTCAATAGATAAGCAGTGATCACAGGTATTTTATTATATATATAATATTTTTTTTTTTAATCCAAAGACACTTCTGTTTCTGCTGAACAAATCCACTTTTCTGTCATCCACATGCTGATTGTTTACAACTAATATAAATCTTTCCATTTTCAAACTTCATTATAATATTTACTACTGTTAGTGATTTCAATATAACATTCATATCCTAAAGTTACTCATTCAAAGTGTTTTTCTCCAGTTTAACCTGTTAAGAAGGACGGACATGGAGAATGTGACACGTTCCGCATGTGGACTGATTATTTTTTTTTAAGAAGCTTTTCTGTTTTCTCCGCAGAATGTCTCATTGTTCCCTCAGCTCGTGTATCGGGGCCTTTCAGAGACCCCCAGAGAAACCTCAATCGTTTCTAATTAGAGAGCAGTGGATGTTTTCTGCAGCAAGCTGCAGAGAATGAGCTCCAGCAGAGGAGAAAAAGATGGAAAGGGGAGAGGGGTATGCTGAGTTGTGATAAGTGAGAATATAATGTGGTTTTTCCAGCACTCTTAACAATAACAGAAACTGTTTCATAATCATTATGTTTCTACATGCAGATTAGCAAATAGAGTGTATTCTGTTACTCTCATTCTGCCTATTTTACTAATTAAAAAAAGACCCCCCAAATGATTTCTCTGTATATTCCTAAAAAAAAAAGGCACAAGTTTGTTATTTTATAAAATGCCACCTGAGTAGCATGTGTGAGTTTCAAAGCAACGTTTTACTCTCAACTTTACATGTGAATCTTAAATGACACATACATATTTATGTGTAACTGCATGATGAATCTTGTTGATCATTTACTGGTGACTTATTGCAGGGCTTTTGGATACAACATCGCTAAAAGTTGAATGCATTTCAAATATTGCATTTCAGTTATAATGATCCATTTTTTACTGTGTAATTTGTAAACTCTCAACTTGACAAATGACAACTGCAGCTAATCTGTTTTCACATTCAAGTCTCATTGACACATAAAGCTAACAGGTGGTGAGCTACCATGGCTAGAGAGCCTTTTATTCTGTTAAATATAAAAGATAGGTCAATAAATATCCAATCTACTTGTATCCATGCACTAAGCTGAATGTATTCTGATGACAAAGGCCGACACCGATACATTAAAAATGTCTTTACCTCCCACTCTGTGTCAGGCATACAGACAAACAAAACACTCCATGTCTGCAATCAGAGTAATGAAGTGTGTGAATAGGTTTCAGACTGGATGATGATCACACAAACAGAGCTGTTCCAGTGGAGGTCAAACAGCTCACTATATTGGAGAGAGTCTCTGGTCACTCCCGGTCCTTGCAACAAACCGTTTTTAAGGTGAACAGGAAGTCTTAGAATCTTTTTTTTTTTTTTTTATTGTACAGCAGAGGCAATTGTTTCAAAGAATGGTCACTGTCAGGTTGACTACTGTTGCTTACAAGTTTTAAAACTTCTGAATGAAAACCTGCTTGAGAAAAAGAAGTGAAAGTGAATGTTGAAATTTGGATATTTTAAAGTCAAAATGTATTCGTAGACTGCTATTTTCAACACTATGAATGTCGACAATGTATGTAGCTAGAATTTCAACCGAGCAGTCATATCTGGACTATATCAACTTTAATGTATACATCAAGGTGTTGACAACCTGTTTACAAACTGATGCTATTAAATTCAGACTTGAGATAATAATTGAAATAATTCTGAAGCTTTTCAAATTAGTCAAACTAGTAATACAAGTGGATAATCAAGACTACTTAAAAGCATGTTTAATTTTCATTGGCGTACTGCAATGCATGATATTTAAATATCTGATGAGTTCTGAACATACCCGCTCTGAGCCTGTAGATAAATATAACAGCTAATAATGACACAATATCACATGATGGGAGAACTTTTAAGAATTAAGTACTTTTCAGAAGTTTTCAGTGAAAGTATTTCAGATAAGATTATCTTAAAATGCAATGTAAAAATATTGGTGAACTTCAAACTTTTTTACAATATCTTGAAAAACAACACTGATGTGTATCTCTGCAGGGTTTTCTTGACATATAAAAAGAGCAGGAAGAGATCAACATTATTCCTCCACTGCTGAGATGCTAATCGGATGAATCCGCTCCCGACAGAGAAAACTGCACAATTGCTGTTTCTTTGAGGTTTTGTGTGTATGCTTGATAAGAAGCCTTCGTTTTGTCAAACTTCTCTAAATGCATGCTCAGTGTATCTAACGATATGAGTGAGCCTCACAGTGCAGCTGTCTCCTTCAGCTCTGCACAGAGGCCCATGCATTTTTCATGGCGGTTCCACTGGATGAGAAAAACTGCTCATTGAGAAACTACCAATCTTCCCGACTGCCCCCCCCCCCCCCCCCATGCCTCTCTGACACTCACATGGCATACCTAAAGAGGTACATTTGGATGCCTGGAGTAAATTCAATTTGTCCACCCTACCTCTGAAAAATGTAGTTTGTTTCAGGCGAAATCTTAAGATATCCTGAAATGTTTTCACACATCTTTACCTGCAGATCAGTACAGCCTTTTCCATGTGTTTGATATAAATTCCACATTGATGACTTTCTGCTGTTGTCCTGTTGCAGTCTCATTCTGAAATTCATAGATCGCCTCAGTAACTTATAGCAACCGTGAGCCAATGGCATCAAAGTAAGCAGGGAACCATGGCAATGGGTATTCAATCAGCAGAGCAAGCCAGCAGCATTTGTACTGCACTTGATATGATGAGAGCAGAGATGGGTTTTACAGCAAGAGACTCCAAGCTCAAACATGCTCAGATCTCTATCATTTACTAAAACATACTTTGCAAGAAATGATGTATGCCCAGTATCATGCAACAGTTATTTTCAGAGACATGCAGACATGAACATAAAACACACACAGTCACATGAAAACTTACTACTACTAACCTACTTGTTTTTAAAGTGAAAATATTAAATCTAGATCCACATTCTACATTCATAGTGACATTACAATAAAACAATTACTTTTGATCCAATAAAATCTAACTGAAACTGGATCCAATAAAGTTGTTTGAACACACTTACAATATAATATAGTGTAAGACAACGTAATATTTATCTAGGTCAAACTGAGACCTCAGTAGTTGAATCTGGGATTCACTTTTTTCATTATTTGCGTTATACTCCTTTAAAAAGAGCCTTAGTCTAATTAATAATTACATGTATGTGAAACATGCTCTCATCTGCACGAGCTACAATATTAAGCATATATCAAATTTCAGTAAATATCACATATAAGTAAATATTTATATTTTATCAGTTGAGTCTGCTTTTATTGTGTCAATTATCAATCTGATCTCTTTGTCGGACACATGGCTGAACACCCTGCTTAGATGCTAAAACATGTACACACTGCTGGAAAAGATGAACACTGTGATCTTTCCTGCGTTCTCAGGAATGTGCTACAGTACCTGTAGGGAATCCAGTCGGAGGAGTGCTTGGAGCTCATTCTGTATCAATCACCCTGACTGCTGCTGCTGCTGCTGCCTGACTGCAAGGCTAACGGCCTATGACAGCACCAGTGCACAAGTGGCTATGGGGTCTGAGAAGGACAGCGATCACAGCCAGAGAGCCCACATTGCATGTTCATCCTCTGCACACAGCTCTATATATCCCCAGCCTGTCTGTTTTCCCTTCTTGGTATGTCCTTCAGCAAATGACTAAGAATCCAGACGGACAGCAACGCTCTTCAGTCATGCATGCTGAGCGCATGAAATAGCCGTTTTCTTTTCTCCCATGTGTATGCATCAAGTCAGTGCCTCTCCTCTTCTCTTCCCTCATCCGCCGCCTCTGCTCCTGCTTCTCTCGCTCTCACTCTGTATCTAAATCTCCCTCCGTTTCTTGCCCTTTAAATCCCCCCTCCCCCTTCCTTCCTCTCTGACCAAATCTCGCCCTGTGCCTCTCTGCCCAATCTTTCCCTCGTTATCTCCCGTGCAGCATCACCTACACCGGCATCAAGTATGAATCTTTTAGCAAAAAAAAAGGTGATGGAGAATCCCCTTTGTCTTGCCTCTTTAATGTTCGTTGTTTGCTATTTCTCTACCATGCTACCCACTTCTTCATTCACACACACACACACACACCTTTATCTCTGTGTGTTGCATGAAGCATATAAAGCAGGGACTAAGATGTGTTTTCTACCATCATTTATTTATTCATTCTCTCGGAGTAAGAGGCATTAGCATACGACTGTGCAGACTAGTGTTAACAGCCTTTAATTCAACGCTCTCCGCAGGCAGACAAAGGCTCCCTGTGATAGTGCCACAGCTCTGAACCGCTCTCACACACACATCTGCTTCCGCCCTCCTTCTGCAGCCCCTCACTGTCACCACACAAACACACACATCACTCACTGTGTTCCCAGGGTTATTCAGGAGTCCATCTATAGACAGTTAAAGCGAGCAGATTCCATGTGACAAAAGTGCTTCACAAGGAGTCAATTCATATCAACTCCAACATCAGCAAATATTTGTTATAGTGTTAAGTGTGTGTTTCATATTTGAGAGAGTGAAATCATCTGACATGTATTTGGGGGAAGAAAAACCAACTGCTTCTGAGTACAGAAGGATCTACCGACTCCCTAAAAAGGAGCCTCAGGCAAAACTGAATTCAATGTATTTCATCATTTGTGTGTTGCACCAACTCCTACGGATTTTGGACATATAATGCACCAAACCAGACTGAAATATGCAAATGCATTCAAGTGCATGAATACAGACACATGAAAACACATATATAGAGTATATATTATTTGATTGGGTTGCAGTTCAGCACTTACATATTATGTGCTGATCAGATCACACACAATGCAGTTCATGCTAAGGCTGACAGATTGCAAGTGTACAAAATGGGGCGCTGGTGGCGCAGTGGTTAGTGCGCGCGCCACATGTATGGAGGCCTTGCTCCTCCAAGCGGGTGGCCCAGGTTCAAATGCCGCCTGTGGCTCCTTGCCCGCATGTCATTCCCCACTCTCTCTCTCCCTGACTTCCGACTCTATCCACTGTCCTATCTCTACATTAAAGGCACAAAAAGCCCCAAAAAATTAATCTTTAACAAAAAAAAAAAAGTGTACAAAATGCTATTTAAGTGAGAAAAGTCACACAGTAGAGTCCATTCATGTTCTTTAATTACATACCAACAAATAACGCATCACTGATAGACTTCAGTGGTAGACTATAACCACTATCACCAAGTGATCTGACTGGACAAGAGGCTATTCATAAGTGCTGATATAGAATATAAAATCACCCAGGCTTCATAACTGCATCCCTCTGCTTTAGGTGATCTGAATTCTGTACACACAAAATGACAGCAAAGAGCTTTTGTCTTGATTGATCATCCTATCTCTGAATAATACAAGACACCAGTTCAACTGTCACAGGTCTCTTATTCTACAAGTGCATCATGAACGGAAAGTTCAAAATAAATGTACACAGTACAAGCTAGCTGATATGCTGAAATCTGTAGACACACTCAATGAAACACGAGTGCATGAAAATGTCTGGCCACAGTCCAGTTCCAGTCAAGTGTCGGATCTAGTTGTGATGTTGGCTTGAATGATAAAATAAAGAAAAGACTGTTCTATAGTTGTTTATTACTTTAAATGACTCACTGCTGCTTGTAGACTTGTTGTATTAAAGCAATGTCACACTTGAGGTCAAAGTGTTGTACTGAATGTTTGTTAAGTATTACATTTCAGCACAGGTCATGTGACTGCTGAAGATAATCCCAGTTTTACAATAGCATGACCCTAAGTGTTATATTGCTTGATTCTAAATATATATATATTTTTTTTAGAATGACCATTACCAACTTTAGATGCGTTCTGTGGTGTTGCATCCTACAAGGCCATATGTTCGTTGGTATTGAAATAAATCTAGCATCAGAGATTTGTTAAATTTTTCAACATTTCATATTCCGTCAACTAACAGAAACAATATGCCTTCATGTACACTGGTCAATGAACTTAATAGCCAAGCCATTTTCTCTTTTATTTATACACATGTATAAACTTAGAAATGTATCAAATGTGACCAGAACTGCTTTTTATTCTCCCAAGTATTCAATCCTGTTGCAGCCGCTTGACTGAAAACACAATGAACCATTGATCGCATTCTCCTATGGTATGGCCTTTCAGAAATGTCAAGTCACAAAGGTGTTTCACTTTGACTCACAGAAAGAAAGCAGTGACAGAGCGGACAACAATAAAATAAATCAGCTTTCATAAAATTCCAAACAGATCAATCCCTCACACAGTATGTCTCCCACCTGGGCACAGACCACTAGTGATGTTTAAATAAACTGAAGGACCTAGAGGGGTCGGCTGAATCACATCTTTGAAGATAGTTGACTATATAGCATGCATGTCTTTGTTAAGGATGTAGCCTATTTAGAAATTAAGAAAAGTGTTGTTCCTGTGTAAAAATGAGTCAAGTAGTTTGTATTAGACTGAAGTAGGCGGTAAAGGCAGATGTCCTTCCTACAAACCTCTACTGTTGTTTCTTCTGTGATTAAGGGAACCGTTACTTCACTACGCAAGAGAAAAATCCTCATCTGCTCCCATCAAGCTCATATGAGAGAAATAGTTAAGTTTCTGTGTCGCAACCCGGGAGACCCATCTTCTTGGGTTTTTTTGTAATTTCGTCCCATAATGCAGTTATTACACGAGTAACCAAAGCATGAAAATCTGCAGAAGAAAAACAACCTGTATAATCAATCCTCTCCGGTGCAATTATCACTGTTTTTGAGAGGCAGGATGGCTCAGTAATTAGGGAGAGATCTTGTGTAACTGTGAATGGGGAAAGGTCCCACGTCAACAAAGCACCAGCTCTGCCCCTGCACTTGAGCAAAGCACTGATTCCTATCACCATCTGACTGCAATATAGTTACATCGTACAACATAATGATCCTATTCAAAAAATCTTTATGTTTGGCTTTTTGGAATAAAACTTCCTAAGAATATGTAGAGAGATGGATGTAGTTTCTACCCATGAATGTAAATGACTGTCGGAGAACGTCTGTATTTTATGGTGTGTATCCTTGCATATCAGCTGCTGGGATGAAAGTGAAGGTAAATGGAGGAAGCCACTCCACAGAAGAACAGGTGTAAGCGTAGCACCCTGCTTAATATTTGATGCTGACGGCAGGTCTTTGAAGTTGGGCTTTGGTCATGAGAGAGTTAGAAGTATGGAGGCTGACTTTCATATAATTGAATGAAGACACAACTACAGTAAATTCTCCTGAGACAACAGAGTGCTTTCTTCCTCCTTTTAGCCCTCTGGTCTGATAGCCATTACAGCATTAAAGGGCGACTGATAACATCCCTTTATCAAATTTGATTTTTCAATTCCAAAATACCGTTCAGTGTTTTCCCAGAGGCATTTTATTGTTGGTAACAGTAGGCCAGCAGTATCAGTAATGAGAAATATGGCCATGACACAGACGGCACACAGTGACATGAAAGTGGATCTCTGGTTTGTGTCTGCCCTTCATAGACAGAGTGAAGCACAGCTGCAGAGCAAACAGCCTTAATAATACATACAGAGCATGTGCCAAATGACGAGCAACGATTATGTCCGTATGAGTGTGTGTGTTTAATATTGCTACACTTTCATCATCAACTAAAACCCCTGTAGCTGCAGAGAAGCAATGGTTCCAAAAGCTTTTCTTACAAATGTTCTCCGTAATAGGCACTTCATCCTTTTTATTACTTTTTTCCAGTTTCCTTGCTTTTGTGGTTCCTCTACCTCTTATTAACAGGATTCACAGCATGTACTGTATGCGCAGCTTTATTCACACCTTTTTAGTAGTCTTACACTGATGCACAGTGTCTATTTTGAGACATATTAGACTTGGCACTGTGATGTTAAACCATCAACAGCATTATTAGATGCTCAGAGTGTTGATATCAGGTGACAATTTTGATAATGCAAGAAAGTTAGTTAGTGGGTGCAGCACTTCTCGCCCAGGATACAGGGTTCTAGTCCTGTTAAAACCAAAAGTTAGTATTGAGTTTTTATTTTTGACCTACACCATGATGTTTCTGAAATCAAGCCAATAGGTTGTTGTGCCTTAGAACTATAACTAGTTTACACCATTGACAACATCTAACACAGGCTTTCAGGCAGAACAGGGCAGAAGGTGTCTGAATAATGACACTTATCAGTAGCAACAGTAGCAGCTGTTTAACACTAAGATAAGCTCCTCATCATCACCTTCAAAGCCCTTCACAACCTGGCTCCCCCCTACCTGTCTCACCTCCTCCACAGACACACTCCCACCCGCACTCTCAGGTCTGCAGATGCAAACCTCCTTCCCCCGGAGGTCCTGGGGGGCTTTCTCTGTTGCTGCTCCCTCTGGAACTCACTCCCAAAAAACATCAGGACTCCCCCACACTCACCTCCTTCAAGAAATCCCTCAAAACTCACCTCTTCAACATTGCCTACAACCACTAACTCCCCCCTCCCCCCTACATTACTTCTTCATTGTACTGTCCTCGTCGTTTTTTGTTTTGTTTTATGGTTTTATATTTTGTCAAAGCATCTTTGAGTTCTTAGAAAAGCGCTATAAAAAACCCAATGTATTATTATTATTATTATTATAAGATAGAGGACTCAGATCAGGACAGATTTATTGTAACATAAGGAAAGAAAACACAGGCTTACTTATATAGAGTCTGAGAGAGTCATTTTTCAAAGGAAACCAAAAGACCCAACTAAAAGTCCAACAAATCAAGGGAAGAACACAGGAAGGGCCAGGTGTAAAATCCACACAGGTTTGCACAGAAGGGTCGAAACACAGAGATCTATACATTTGCAGTAATCAGAC